TTGATACTTCGCCGTTCTTCGTGTTGTTGTTGTTGTTGTTGTTCTTCTTCTTCTTCTTCTTCTCCTTGTTTTATTGGCGGGTTGCGAGCTGAGCTGGGAGCTGCTTGACCTGACAACTGGGGTGGCATAATAAATTGTGGGGGGCCAAGAAATGTCCCCACGGGCCAAAACAAATGTTCCGCGGGCCCCACTTTGGGCACCCCTGCTCTAAATATTCAGCAGGGGGCAGCAAACCCAACCCCCACCCACTAGGACAAGTCAGGCAGAGCTCAAAGGGACAAACAAGTCTGATGAGGTCCAGAGGTTTGCAACTGGGAACATATGAAGGTCTGTTCCACAGTTATTTTCATTTTGAGTATCTTGCTGTGAGGGTTCGGGTGAGGTCTGTGTGTAGACTTTTAGCTTCCTACCTCCCCTGCACAGGCTTCTGTTTACTTTACATCCATGTGTATCCGACTATTTGTTGGTATAAGCATGTCTGTACAAATGAATGTGAATGTCTGTGTACATATAACTTCTTGTTCCATTGACTGTGTTTTACTATATTGTTATACAGTTGTCTCCACTTATGGATACCCACAGAATCTTCTGTAGGTCTTGTTCCAAAAAAAAAAAAAAAACAGCTGTTGGAAAACAAGGAAGTTGTCTTATATTTGACCGAAGACAGCAACTTGGTAACATGGAAAGAAGGGCACACAGTCATAACAAAAAGTAGTACATAATAAGTATCTGTTCCCAGGACAGTGGTTACACACTGGAAACTAGCCAGCATTGCAAAGTACAAAACAGTGAAGGTTAATTGTTACAGAATGAAATCATGTTTTTAAATGTCGTCTTTGAGGGAAATGATGCTGTTCCTTCGTGAGATGACACAGACTGTGCTGGCAGCTACTTATTTTACTGCTTTTATTCTCTCACTGGTTCACTTCCCGTGCAGACACAATTTCACACTCACATTTTCAGTGGACTGCAGCGTGTGTGTCACCCTGGTGGTGCCGACATCCTGTTTCCTGTCAGCTGACCCTTCTCGCTTCCTGCTGTCCTCCTCCCGCTGTGGCTCCAGTTTGACAGAGCCCTGCTGGTGCAAGGAGGTAGAGTTCATAAGAACCTGGGAGAGAAATGTTCTACATGTTCGCTGTTTTGAAGTACCTATACATATACACATATATAAAAAAAAGATACAAAGTAAATGATGCAAGAAAGAAAGGTGGCCACTTGATTAATATCATAAGAAAGTTTGAAACTTGTTGCTATATATACAGTTTGCTTTGCACAGTTACCATAACAACAAGCAAATCTGCACCTACAATGTTTCCATTGTTCTAAGACATCTACAATAAATAAATGACTCCATCACTGGTGGAGTGAGCTGCAACCTTTCGCACGCAGTTTGAACACTCAGCTGTGCAATAAAAATATTCTGAGCTCTGTTATTTGTGAATTGACACACTGCCGTGTTGCATCTAAATAAAACACTGACCATAGTGAGATAAGAAAGCATGAAAGAGCAGATACTCATGTTCATTCTGTTGAACTCTAACCAGAGGAACTTGTAACACCATTAGTTCCTGCTTACTGCACTGTGCTGTGCTCTTGGACCGTTCCTGAAGAACTATGCAAACCACTTCAGATTTCAGTAAAATCGTGTGAAATCAATATTGCCTGTCCTGTGGTTGTTTGTGTGGCACAATTTGCTTTATTTACATCTATTTCTGCAGTACATGTATGAAAATAAGATATTTAACTGACCTTGTGCTCCGTCTCCTCCTCGGCGGTCCTGCTCTCTGAAGGCTCAGCCTCACCAAAGATCGGCGTCCCGTTGCGGCCGATCTTAACGTGTTTCTTGTACGTGTAGTAAAACTCCACACACTGTGCCACTGTCTTAGTGGTCACCTGTAAAACCACACGCACATTCCCTGTTAATGGATTCTTCATTTCTGTTTAAAATGCCATCGTATGTTACTGCAAACACAAGGTCAGGTTTCAAGGCATTTCAGAGCTGGTAAGTAAATACAAAGACAGTCCCGAGATGCCTCGCATGATCTGCAACACTGTTGCTTCTGTATTTTGTATTCACTCTGTGTATCTTTGGCACCTCAGGTGAATAAACCTCCCGCTATATGAGTCAATTAAATTTGATTTGATCTGAGAACCATTACTCCAGCTGAGGCTGCAACTAACGAATGTGAAATAACAAAAAGTTTGACACTTTTTTTTTAAAGAATGACAAACAATTAATCAGTTATCAGAGTAAAGCAGCTGCTGTTCTATCTTCTGATGATCTGCTACTCAGCAAATTGTTTGGAAAACCTCTAACTGCAGTTTCTCATTAGAACCAGGGCAGTGTTAACAACAGCAACAACAAAGGGGCAAAGCACATTCAAAAACCAAATTTCAATGGCTTTAGTTTGGTGGGGTAGCAAGGAGCACCGTGAAATGCTAAAACCGATGTAACCTAGTCTCACCTTTGATCAGTGAAGTATTTCAGACAACAATATTAAATAGTTTTGTAATATTTGACTGTGACACTGCAAATAATTAAACAACATTGTTCCAGCGTGACGGTACGTCCCTTAACCCCCCCACCCACCCAAAGTAGAGTTTTTCTGGTATGGTTTGTTGACTGCACAGCTGCTAATGGCCTTAAACGTACTGTGACTACAAGTGAGAGCTTTGATTTTCCAGTACTTTTGTTTGAAACCATATACAAATACCTGTTTCTGAACCATGAAGAAGTCCTTCTTGTACGCAGTGATGCCTTTGTTAAACTGGCGCCTCTCAGCTGCGGTCCAGCTGTCTGACCCTGAGGGAGGGAGGTAGAGAGAGGCACATGAAGAGAGAGATGCAGTTTGTTAACAACCAGTTTAAACACAGTGTAACACATTACAAGCATTGGGACCCTGACAGGACACTATGGCCCAACCCCAAATTCACTCAAATCACTTGATAAACAATGGCTCTGTTGTCTTCTGCTTGGGATTAACCACATGC